AAAAACAAGATCGCTTAAAGACGGAATCTTTGTCTGTGGGAAAGAGTGTTTTTCAAGAATTCGCAGGCTGTCTTTTATTCTGGGAAGTGAGAGAAAGAAATGGCTATGGTGGCACAGCATCACAGAGAGAGCAATAGTGGGAGTCTAAATAAGCATCTTGATGCCGCCGGAAAATATGTGCGGTACACGGCTGAGCAGGTGGAGGCCCTGGAGAGGGTTTACACCGAGTGCCCCAAGCCCAGCTCACTCCGCCGCCAGCAGCTGATCCGTGAGTGCCCTATTCTTTCCAATGTCGAGCCCAAGCAGATCAAAGTCTGGTTTCAAAATCGAAGGTATTTTAAGCAGTTATTTCTGTCATTCACTTGTCACTTCCTATGGTTTTTCCCTATTATTATTATTATTTTTTTTTTAATTTTCTGGGATGATCCTCATAATTCAAATTCAAAGTGTTCGATAGATTCTTTAATTTTTGGGATATAAACAGAATTTGAGCATTTTTCCCTTTATTTATCAGTTAACTTAATCTTCTTGTTTCCTTTTATAAACTAATAATGGTTGGATTTGGTTATCATATCTTAATGATCTTATGATTCTTTATTATCTTAATTCTTATCAGTATAGTATTTAAACATTTTTATAGTGTGGGGATTAATTGGATTGTGGCTTTTAAATGAACAATTTCAATTTTTTTTTTCCTTGTGTTTGGTGCAGTTAAAGCTTATGTCTTCCTCCTTGTAGATTAACTGTGACTTAAATGTAGGTGCCGAGAGAAGCAAAGAAAAGAATCTAGCAGACTGCAGAGTGTGAACCGAAAACTGACGGCCATGAACAAGCTGTTGATGGAGGAAAATGATCGCCTCCAGAAGCAAGTGTCACAACTGGTTTGCGAAAACGGGTTCATGCGGCAACAAGTGCACACCGTATGTAATCTCCTCGTTTATTGTTTCATCGTTCTTAATCATTTTCTTGTTTGATTCTTGTATGATCTGTACTATCTATGAATTGATTCTTTTTTCTGTTTGTTGGATGAAAAATATTGTTATCTGTTTTTAAAATGTTATGATTTTGTTAAATAAAAAAAACTCTACAGGCACCTGGGGCTGATGCAAGTTGCGAGTCGGCAGTCACGACCCCTCAGCATTCACTTAGGGACGCCAATAACCCTGCTGGGTACTTCATAAATTTCCCAGTTTCCTCTTTGTCCTTTGTATTCCTGAATATATCTGGAAATTTCTCAATCAAATATATTGAGAATTATGTTGTAATTTCTGTTGGCAGACTCCTCTCAATTGCAGAGGACACATTGGCCGAGTTCCTTTCAAAGGCTACAGGAACTGCTGTCGATTGGGTTCAGATGCCTGGGATGAAGGTCTCAACTTATTCAAAGATGCAATCCATATTCTCTATATTTTTTTTGTCCCTTTCATTTTGAACCACAAAACTGAAGGGAATGTTGGTCATTATGTTCAGCCTGGTCCGGGTTCGGTTGGGATCTTTGCCATCTCACATAGTAGTACCGGAGTGGCCGCTCGTGCCTGTGGTCTTGTAAGTTTAGAACCTACAAAGGTAAGCAAAACTGATTGGTTAATCCCTCATGTTGTTTGACATCAACTTCGTACATAGCAAATTTTACATTTTTTTTTTTGTTTCTTTTATTTGGCAGATTGTTGAGATCCTTAAAGATCGTCCGTCTTGGTTCCGTGACTGCCGGAGCCTCGAGGTTTTCACCATGTTTCCTGCTGGAAATGGAGGAACTATTGAACTTTTGTATACACAGGTGAATTTGGCAGGAATTTATTCCCATTATCATTTAAAAAAAAATGTTCTAGCATTTTGGGGTTTTGATTTAACCCATAATTTCTTTCAGGCATATGCTGCAACGACTTTGGCTCCCGCACGAGACTTTTGGACTCTGAGATACACGACTACCTTAGAAAATGGCAGTCTTGTGGTATAGTTATCTTTTGCATCATTTGCTAAAATATGTAATCTTAGACATTTTTTTTTTTTTTTTTTTTTCTGATTATTTGTTAGTTGGAGGCTCGTATCATTTGCAAAAACTGTGGTTGTGCATTAACTATTGTAAAAAGTGATTCCCATTTTTGTAATCACTATAAACATTAGTTGTCACTTTCCAACTTCTGCTTCTCATTATACGCAGCTGACCGTTATTAAGAATCTTGATAACTGGTTCTTTATATTCTGATTCCGCTTTTATTTTATAACCATAAAATCCAAATGAAGATTGTATCAACTTCGGCTTCACTTGCAAAACTGTGTCTGTATATAGTTTTGCTATTCTGGCATATAAATCCAGTTATATTGATGTTAACGCCCTCCTAAGGCGCTATATAGTATATAAAATTTGTAGCTTTCCTTTTATGATGTGATTTCAGTCTTTGATATTTTTCTCTTCATTTTTTTTCCCTTTCTAAATACAGGTATGTGAGAGGTCACTTTCTGGTACCGGGGCTGGTCCAAGTGCGGCTGCAGCTTCTCAGTTTGTGAGAGGAGAAGTACTTCCATCCGGATATTTGGTGAGGCCGTGTGAAGGGGGAGGATCCATTATTCACATTGTTGACCACCTTAACCTTGAGGTCATTATCGGCCCTTGTTCCTCTTAGAAGCCATAGAATTC